TTTTGCTTTTAAGCATAATTTTTCAAAACACCTGTTCCTAACTGCGTACATAGGCTATTCTTGGGATATTTCTCGTGCTAGCACAGGAATCCTTCAATTTAATTTAGGGACTGCTTTTGTAATCCAGAGAGGAAATTAATCCAATGCGGCTAGAAACTACTCGGTACGTTTCTGCAATTTCCTTGGTGTTGAAAGATACAGCTAAATGCTGGTTGCAGCTGGACTAAGTGTCATAAAACACTTTTTGAGACTTTTTAGCCTCTTTTGCCCATCAGTCAATGGTCAGTTCAGCACTGTTTTGTGTAGTGATAGAAAAAATGTGTCGTACAATTTATTCTGGTTAGCCTTGTTAGAACATAAATTATTTTATACTTATTTACTCCCCTGATCGCTATTAGTTACTCATGCTAGTGTGAGTTCAAATCTGATGTAGTTCGTTTCAAAAACTGAATTTTTTGCAAGCTCGCTGCGAAGTTTTCTTGTTAAAAAATGAGTCCCAAATTGTCCTCTTCAAACAATAAAAAGTGGGGGAGAAGGACGAAAGAGTAGAAAATGAACAATTTATACTTAATAATTATATTAATTCGATATGAACTGAAGATATGTAGCCCGAGGATCATAGGGCTTGGCATAGCCCTGGGATCATAGGGCTTTGTGTCCAGCCTGTGCTCAGCTGTATTCCAATAGCATCACTAGCAAGGGAAACTGATAGCCCGATGGGTCCTGATGTTCTTGGTGGGAAATTCATACTGATAGCCCGAACGGTCTTGGATATTTGCATAAATTGTTTATTGAGTTATCATAAATTATACAGGCGCGCGTATCCATTCACTCCGGGAGCAGGCTTATTTCGAGCAAACGCATTGTGAGCTGTTTATTTTTCAAAAGCGTTAAAAAAGGCCGCACTCTGCCCCTATCACTCACTCCGGAGTGCGCAGCAGTTGCAAATGAAACGTGCTAGCAGTTCAGAATAGTCGCCCTCCGTCAAGCAAACCTGAAAGGACACACCGCTTTTCCATAAACAGATTTCAGCTGGCCGTCCGGATGAAACAGCTCGCTGTAAGCTATCACTGGCGGCTTGTCGTCCGAGTTTGATGAGAACACTTCGGTCAGCTGGCGCCCGATCATCTGCTCATACGATAGGCCGAGCAGCCGCTTAACATTACTGTGCGCTATCAGTATCTAAACGAACGAGAAATTTTAGCACGAGTAACCCAACAAAACTGTTAATTCAGAAATTCAGAACTGCTCTTTTTACTACTTTTAATTAGTTATAATTGCGTAGTGCCTACACTGATGTACACATACTTCTATTAAAAATATTATGCACCAGAATCCCTTTCCAATTTTGCTTTCTCTGAGAAGCGGAGACAGTTGGGAAGCAGCTCGACTGGTAGCAAATGCCAATAGCAGCCACGTTTTGGGAGAACTGGCGTCGGCTCCCTCTTTCGAGAAATGCTTAAAATGAAGCCCAGCAGAAGTCATGTGATCAAAAGTGGAGACGAACAAGAGTCTAAAAATTGTTATCGAGCTTGACATTTTCAAAAATTTCGGTTTCCTAACTTTTATGATTTTAGGATTGGATTACAGCACAGGCGCTTTTGAACACAAAGAAGTAATCGTGATTTTACATACCGTCTTTTAAACCCACAAAAAAAATATGAAAAAAAGGTGAGTCGTGTTGCAGCACTCTCACCCCACGCAATTACCTCGGTCGTTTTCGAATCGACAATCAGAATAACTTTTGTAGGTTTCTTGTTACTGGCCGGTGTCGGCGGATTCTGTGCGGGGGTCTGCAGTTGTGAGGAGCTGAATGAAGCCGCTGAAAGTATACTTTTTAGCGCAGAGCTGAGCAATCCAAGAACAAAATTGCAAAAACTCTTAGTGCAGTTCAGTCAGACTAGCCGAAGTCATTTCCGAGACTGTGAAGATTGCCTGTCATAAGCAGTCCACGTGAAGTGTGCTAATTCTAGCCCGTGGATATACTTGAAATCGTAGAAGTTGAAGACCAGTTCTACATGAAAAAGTGCCGGAAAGGATAAACAGCTGACTGCCTACATTCCAGTGCTGTTCTGAGCATACCAACACAAACTACCGGCGTGAGTTACCCGCCAGCGGTGTGGCGAGAAAACGCTTCTGGAAAACGGAGCGGAGGGGCACCTTCGGCAAACAGAAAAGATGCTTTTACCGGCAAACGATTCTTTTTTATTATAGAATCAACATTCTGATAAAAAAATAAAAATAATTGCTAAAAACATGGAAAACATCTCCTGGTTTTCATGTTCGAAGCTGAAAATTTTGAGTGTGCTCCTCATACTTATCCTTTGGACCCACTAGTGCTAATATTAGATGCGAAGTTATTAAGTTTAAGCTGTTAGAGGGAAGATACTAACTGACAGTGAGGTATACTGGAAATATTAAAGATTTAACCCCACAGGGTATATGAAGAAAAAATAATTTAGCTATGATTAAAACGTTTCGGCTCAGTTAAGCTGCTTTCGTTTTAACTGAACGCTATAACTGGAAACTGAACTTCCTCTGACATAAATTATTGTTTTTATTATTATTAACATGATACCTAACAAGTGGGAAAAGTTGAAAATCAGTGACTTTCGAAACTATAGAAGAGGGGTGGCAAAGTAGGTGGAGGATCAGTGCTAAATTGTCCAAGTCACTGCAATTCGCCGTGTGGTAAATTCGCTCATAAATTTTGACTTACAGAGTATGCCTGGTGAAACTGGCGGAAAGAACGAGAGCGCGGCGAAGAAATTTGGAAATGGTGAATGAATGGGAGTGTAGAAGACCGAGTAATGATCGGCAACGGTATCCGATGCTGAGATTTTGTTGATCATATCAGTTGAAAATGAAAATGTTGTATCACTGCATCGACGTGCAGTTATCGATCCTGGAACATCCATTTCCCTTGTTCATTTAGATTTTTCAAGACACTGTTTAATTTCTGTTCCTTTTAAAAATTAATTGGTTTAATTTCGCTTTTT